CTACTTATATTGTTCCATTTATTAACATTAAATAACATTACAGGTACTTCAAGCAACCATATTCATTTTTTACATTAATTTTACTACAGCTAAACTCAGGGTCTTATTTTCTTCAGTTTTATATGTAGAACCAATCAGTCACTGGTTTCGTAAGCTTTAACATAAACAATGCCGGCAGCCGTCTCGTCTCCTCTAATATTCCACGTATTATTAATAAATTGTATTGTTAATTTTGCACACACGTACATTAATTCAATAAAAACAAATTCAGAAACATTAATTAAAATATATATGAACAGTAAATAAGTGTTGCTTTCATATTCTTATGTAAAGTAATGACGATATGTTTTCACGTGTGCGCATGCGCACTTACATATGCGATCTCTCTTTTTTCTTTACCATTATCGTTAGCTACTTCTATTGTTCCATTTATTAACATTAAATAACATTACTTAAAACAACCATATTAATTTTACTACAGCTACAACCAAGGTCTTATTTTCTTCAGTTTTATATGTAGAACCAGTCAGTCACTGGTTTTGTAATCAACGAAAACAATGCTGTGTCATTTCCTCGTGTGTTTTAATATTCTACGTATTATTAATGAATTTTATTGCTCATTTTGCACACATAAACATTAATTCAATAAAAAAGACATTCAGTAATAAACAATAATGAATCTTTTGTACATAAGAGAAATGACGCTGTTTACACGATTATGCACGTCGTCTGCACGTTGGCGGGCCGTTCAAACCCGTCGAAATTCAAGTTTCCGCCGTCAAAATTTTTATTTATTTATTTTTTTGTGTGTTCCAATAAAATACGTTAAGAATTAAAAACTCGCGAAATTTGAGAAGCTACTATACGACATTTAACCCTTCAATATGTCTTCAAAGAGACCATGACGCAGAGAAAGTGGTGCTAGTGCTTCCAGGCATAAGCACAAGTCACTATCTATCCAGGAAAAGGGTGAATTTCCATGGTCCGGCACCGGTCAGGTCCCGAGGTTGCCGGACTAGAGAGGTACAACCTGTACTAAAATTCTTCAGTTTTCTTGTTACAGAAAGCCATTTTTTTTGTAACATATATCTTGTCGGGATTTCTGGGGTGTAGGAATGTGCAGTGTTGTGCTGTGCAAACACATGATCAATGAAAATAGCCTTGCATAATAATCTCTCACTTTAACACAGAATTGGAATTTTACTAACATTACTCACCAACTCAAGGTAGTTCAAGTTAAATTTAGTTTTTTCACCCAACATTTCTCTGGTAGGGAGGGACCGACTATTGACCAGAATATAATTTACATTGCTAGAATTCTTACAATATGATGATAATTTTGAATATAAACATCATGGATTTTGCATTAGCCATACAAATTTTAGATCTAATGTAATAATTTCGTTTACACAAAGTAAGTATTTTATCTTTTGTGCAAAATATATGAAGTTTGCATTCAAAATATTCCCTGACCTGCAAGGAATCCAGAAATGTCAATTATATTATCCTAACTTTAGTCTGAGGTATTATTTATTACTAAACATTAAAATCTAGTGTTTCACCCAATCATTTCTCAGAGAGGTAGGGGCCAGTGAGCTGGGAAGAGGGGGGGGGGATTTGAGTCTATTATTTGAATGGACATTAACCTGTCAGAGCTTCTTTACCATCACTTAGATGTTATTTAATACAACATAGGTATTGTCGAAATAATCAACTTTCCCATATGTTCTGTTGTTCCATTTATGCGGATTTCACTTAACGCGGTACCCTGTGGGTTCAATTGACCGCGTAAATCGGGTACTACTTAACGCGGTCAATAAAACCCAGAGGGTACCGCGTTAAGTGAAAACCACGTTAAGTGAACAACAGAACATATGGGATTAATTCCAATAGAAACCGGCCCGACCCCCAAACTCCACTTTTTGACGACACATAACTATGCTGTAGTAAAAATAACATCTTAATTTTATGATGGTACATGCACACAATTAATACTTAAGAGAAATAGAGAAATACAGTCGCCAAGTTAATGTCCATTCAAATAATGGACTCAACTCCCTCCCCCTCTTCTCACACTACACTGCTGGCTCTTCCCTCTCTGAGAAATTTTTGGGGGAAAACCACTAAATTTTAGTAAATAATACCTCAAATTAAAGTTAGGATAATACAATTGACATTGCTGGATTCCTTGTAAGACCAGGAATATTTTGAATATAAATGTCATATATTTTGCACAAACGATAACATATTTACTCAGAGAAAACATTATATCTAAAATTTGTATGTCTAATGCAAAATATATGATGTTTATATTCAAAATGATCACCAAATTGTAAGAATTCCAGCAATGTAAATTATATTCTGGCCGGGTAATTTGTATGAATTTTATGAGCTAAAACAAATATCTTAAGTTAATAAAAAAAAAATATTCTTCACGACACTATCTGTTAATCAAAGTACCCCACCTTGCCTCCCCCCTCTTCCAACCGCGTGGTCAGTCCCAACCCTCCCCCCACCCCCCACCAATCCTCCCTTCAAGAGAAAGGTGGGGCGAAAAAAATAAATTTTAACATTTTGTATTAAATAATACCTCAGATTAAAGTTAGGATAATATAATTGACATTGCTGGATTCCTTGTAAGACCAGGAATATTTTGAATATAAACGTCATATATTTTGCACAAAAGAGAACATATCTACTCAGAGTAAACATTTTATCTAAAATTTGTATGTCTAATGCAAAATCTGTGATGTTTATATTCAAAATGATCATCAAATTATAAGAATTCCAGCAATGTAAATTATATTCTGACCGGGTAATTTGTATGAATTTTATGAGCTAAAACAAATATCTTCAGTTAATAAAAAAAAAAAAAATTCTTCACAGGGTAACAGATGGTCAGTCGGTCCCTCCCTCCCCCCCACCCCCCCACCAACCGTCCCAAGGAGATGTGTGGGAAAACCAGAATATTTAACTTTTTAGTAATAAATAATACCTCAAACTAAAGTTAGGATAATATAATTGACATTGCTGGATTCCTTGTAAGACCAGGAATATTTTGAATACAAATGTCATATATTTTGCACAAAAAATAACATATTTACTCAGAATAAACATTATATCTAAAATTTGTATGTCTAATGCAAAATCTATGATGTTTATATTCAAAATGATCATCATATTGTAAGAATTCCATCAATGTAAATTATATTCTGGCTGGGTAATTTGTATGAATTTTATGAGCTAAAACAGGCAGTCAGGCAGGGTGGCGGGTGGGGCAAATCTAAAAATAGCATCTCCAGCCGGACACTCACCGCGTATACGTGGAAAAAATCCGAGTTAAGTGAAAGTTCAGCTCTGGCGAGGCACCGCGTATACGGTAAAACGCGCTAAGTGAAACCGCGTTAGGCGGGGTAATATATATATATATATATATATATATATATATATATATATATATATATATATATATATATATATATATATATATATATATATATATATATATATATATATATATATATATATATATATATATATATATATATATGTGTGTGTGCAAGTAAATCACTGTGAGTGGCGTGATCTAGGTATATGCTGATAACCACAAGGAAGGAGAATACACAAGTTCCCAAGCGCTTTCGTGTAATTCACATCTTCAGGGTGAGTACAGACTAGTCTGTACTCACCCTGAAGATATTAATTAAGCCGTTTTCTCCTTCTGTTATATATATATATATATATATATATATATATATATATATATATATATATATATATATATATATATATATATATATATATTGATAAAATCACACGGGAAAAGGGAAACAACGGAGCACCTTAGTTTTCGTCGTCTTTATTCAAGACATCTTCAGAGGCAACTGGATTACATGGACAGAGAGAGGCTTAAATATTCAGGGTGACCTTATTAAACATGAGGTCAGGTCATAATGATGTCATCCACTAATCCCCATACCAACACCAACACACACGTAGAGGAGCTTAAGAGAAGGGGGCGACGTGACTAGTCAGGCCTCACCATTTCCTCCAATATGTCCTGGAAATCACACATCCTTAGTATAACTATAGCTGCCTCCCGAAAGTTGGGAATGCTGTACCGATGCCGCAGCTACTTCACTCCTGAGCAGTTGCTCCAAGTATTCGTCCTAACTTGGAGTACTGCTCTCATATCTGGGGTGGCTCTTCTTCTGTCCAATTATTAGATAGGGTGGAATCAAAGGCATTTCGTCTTATTAACTCTCCTCCTTTAGTCGACAATCTCTCTTCCCTTTCTCTTCGCCGCAATGTTACTTCACTCTCTCTCTTTTACAGGTACTTTAACGGGCAATGTTCAGTGGATTTGGCATCCTGTGTACCGCCGGCAAGGCCGTGGGTTCGTAACACACGTCTTGCCCGCGGTGCCCACTGTTTCTCCGTGGATGTCGGTCACACGGGAATAACCCATTATAGTACCTCCTTCTTTCCTCACACAGCCAAACTGTGGAATGCTCTGCCTTCTTCTGTGTTTCCATGCTCTTACAATCTGTCTCACTTTAAAAAGCTGGTTTTCCGGCATCTTCGTGGTGTAGATTAATACAGTATAACCTTTTTTTCTATATTTACAATTTCTTTCCGTTCTTTTTTTTTTGCCCCCCAGGCTCCGTTGTGGGTCATTTGACCTGTGCCGGGTGGGCTAATTCCCGTAAAAAAAAAAAGATGATGGTTTGAGTGTGGAAAGACCTATTTTTTTCACAAAATATGTGCTATTGTATTTTATGATATGTTATGTATCAATTTTATTGTCTCACAGCAATTTTTTTTTAAATGCAGTAATAGACTCCAGTACAGGTGTCAATCATGCAAATAAATGACTTCAGTTGCCTTTGGATTGTTGGACTAATTTAGAGTTTTTACCAAATGGAACAAAGTTGGGATACCTGTGAGATAATCTTGGCTCAGTTTTACCATATATAAGGCATTTACTATCTTTATGACAGTTACATGGTGGTGTCGCCTGCGCCTCAGTTACTGGGATGGAGTCAGCACTACAGGAGGTATGCTTAGAGAGCTTCCCACTAGGTGATGGTTCCTGGCACACTATACGAGTTGGTCGTCATGGGCACAACCTCATCATATCAGTAGATGACGGTGATGGCTGGCGACGGAACGAAACTTTGTCTTCTTTGCTAACAACAGCCAGACTTACAGACATGCAGCCACTTGTCACTGCACCTCCTTTGCCTATCACTGTGGACAGACAAGGAGTGACTATAGGAGGCATACCAGAACTTGATGAACTTAGCCCAGTGAAAGTTCACGATGATCTCCAAGATGGTAAGCATTGGTACAGTATTTCCTATCAAGTTAGAGTACATAACAAAATGTCGATACTTCAATGTGTGCATTATAATATCAGAAATATTTTGATGAATTATAATAGCCTGTAGTCAAAACCACAAATATTCTACACTTTGTTAATGGTTTTGAAACTTCTCAAAAATTGGATAGGATTATATGATGTAAATGAATGCCATTAGATGTTGTAAAATAATAGGAAGAGATTAGAATGTCTTGGGCTATGATAGGATTAAGTGGATTTATCTGATGGTAAAATTGAGGTCACATCATAATGAGTTTGATCACAATGTTTTTCCTGATATCAATGAAGAAGTAATGAGGTGTTATCGGCTGAGGCTGCATGTTTTGGATGAGTATGGATATATTGTTGAAGACTACAGTGATAGTAGGTAATTCTTAACAGTTTTAGGCAATGATAAGGCATCGATGAAAGTTATATTGAATCCAAAAATTAAAATTGACTGAGACAAATTTTTATTATAGACAACCTGATATTACACACACACACACACACACACAGAGGAATAATAGTTAACAACAGTAATAGGCAGTATAGTAGATTGTGGAAGAAAGTAACAACAGTGTTGTAAATTGTGGGGAAGTCAGTGTTGAAGTATGAACACTATGGTTCACTGTTGTTAATCTAGGTGGTTGCTTAAGAAGTGAATGCTTTCTTTGGAAAAAGGATTCAATGAAAAAATTAAGAAAGAATAAGAGGAACCTAGAGGAAGTGTTTATCATAGAACAAGATTAGGAAATGGGGCAGTGTGACCATGTGAATAAAAACCAATGGAGTCAGTTGATTTAGTACTTTTCAAGATCACCGTCATAATGAAATGATATTGGAAAAATTAAAAAATCAAAGTAAATTATTTCCTATTTCCTTCACTGCATTACTTAAGGCTAAAATGCCCAACGAAATTGAAAATTTCATAGAAATTAAATGTCCAGAGAATGAATTTTCAGTCTTCACAAAGTGGCATGGCGACAAATATCTAAAATTGGATGTAGAGTAAATTACTGTACTTAAAAAAATATATATATGGAGTGAATTAACTTCCATTTACTGCAGACCAAAGAGTTTTTTTTAAAAATGTACTCTACAGTATTTTATAAGGTGTCACTGAAAATAGTGACATGTGTATTTTTCGGCTTGGAAGACGCTGCATCGTGGAAGACGCACCCTGATTTTGGAAATGAAATTCTAAAAAAAAAAAAAGAATAAGGGTTTTAGCCCACCTGGGCACAGGTCACTGACCCACATTGGGGCCTAGGGGGCGAAAATGTAATAATAATAGTCATGCGCCGGTTAACGTCCTAGATACGTTCTTGGAAACGTGACATTAACTGAAATGGACGTTGTCCGATCATCACAAACTTTTTATTTATACTTACGTGTATGTGGAATACTATATACGTACATATACGCTTTTACTCTTCAATCACTACTGTAATGTGATACAGGAGATTAATTTTTATCTCTTGTGCAAAATACATGACATTTATATTAAAATTATTCACTGTCTTACAAAGATTCCAGCAACGCCGAGCAGATGGGGGAGAGAGAGGGTGGGAGCAAGCGAGGGGGTGTGGGGGGAGGGGAGGTAGTACGTTTGACAGTTGGCACAGGCCCAGGTCTAACGCGTGTATATTTATCAGTTCTTAGGTGACTAAGCTTCTCTCTTATAAAAAGCCAGTGAAATGACCTGGGTGAATATAATTGACATAGCTGGGATTCTTGTAACATACTGATTAATTTGAATATAAACATGCTATAATTTGCACTAAACAAAACAATTTTAGTACCGTAATCAAATTAGTACATGTGCACTCCAGCTTTGCACTAAGAAATCTATGTAAATCTACCCAAAAATACAGTTGAAAAACTTTTTTATAAAATGTACTACAGTACTGTACACTAATGTACAACAATTTTTATCTCTTGAGCAAAATATATGACGTTTATATTCAAATTATTGGCTGTCTTGCAAGGATTCCAGCAATGCAAATTATAATCTCCTAACTTTAGTCTGAGATATTATATAAGATAAAAACTGTAAGCCTAAAAGCCTGGCTGGGGGGAGGGACTGATGGCTCCGCCACCCAGCGAGGGGTTGGGGGGGTTGAGGTGATAAGTTTGAGGTGAAGGTCTCTGTGTGTTTATTTAACAGTCCTACTAAGCTTCTTTCCTTTTAAAATGCCAGTGATATGACCTAGGAAAATATAATTAACATAGCTGGGATTCTTGTAAGATACTGATTTATTTGAATATAAACATGTTGTAATTCGCACTAGACATAACAATTTTAGTACCGTAATCAAATTAGTACATGTGCACTCCAGCTTTGCACTAAGGTCATTTATTTCTTTTACGTTTATTTTAGTATGGTGTGTGCATGTAAATGGATGAAAATAAATGAAGAAATTTATGTAAATCTACCCAAAAATACAGTTGAAAAACTTTTTATAAAATGTACTACAGTATTGTACACTAATGTACTACATTTTTTATATCTTGAGCAAAATATATGATGCTTATATTCAAATTAATCTCTGTCTTGCAAGGATTTCAGCAATGCAAATTATATTATCCTAACTTTAGTCTGAGATATTATATAAAATAAACATAAAGAAATCACCAATCTTTTATCTTGAACACGAGGGTGGTGGGAAGAGGGGGTGGGGGGGCGGCGGGGGTGGGTGACAGAATGTCTGGCGTTTGTTTGTTTATTTATTTGAGATAAGATTTGACAGTTGGCGCTGAAGGCCTGCCTGCGTGTTTATTTATCATTACTTAAGAGTGACTAAGCTCTTCTCATAATTTGCCACCCAAACAATCGTCCGTTCCCAGAAGATCGTTCATTAACCAAAAAAAGGATTTATTAACTTGAAGCCATTGTTTCAATGGGTTTTTTGAGAATGATGGTTCAGCTCACCGAATTTCTAAATTCAGCAAAAAATGGTAGAAAAGTTCACTTGCTTTGAGGTATTGTATGTAAGAAACTCCTGGATGATGATGATGATGATGGGATTTAGAATGGGGTGGAGGAGAAGAAAGAAAGAAGGCATTGGGGTGGAAGAAGGCACCCCGTGGCGCCATTCACCAATAAAATTTAGTTCTCTTGGTGTAATTCAAGATTATTTTCTTTAAATCAACACTGCACTGCATTATATATTGTCAATATGTAAATTAAACTTCAAAATGACCAATAATTTGCTTGTAAACACAGAAAAAAAGCATTTAGTTGAAGAGTCTCAAGCAAGATGTTACCTCCACTGAAAAGACAAAAAGACTGACGCCTGTATGCTGTGTTGGCAGGCTGGATGGCGTGCCACAAACTAGTGACCCTACCTTCAATTATGTTCAATAATTGTTAAAATGACTAAAAAATTTAATATTAAACTTTTAAAATTATTGAATAGTATAAACTTGATATTTACTAAAAGGGTAAGAAATTTAAGCCCTAGAACCGATTACTGTATTGGCGGACTAATACTACAGCTGGTGGACCGCCAAATGCAAGCTAAAACATATGGAGGTCGGCTCGTAAGAAACTCGTTAATCGAGGGATTGCTCGTTAACCGAAGTTAAGAATCCTATGGAAGGTAACTCGTTAACGGGCGTTCTGCGTTAAACGAGGTCACCTGTATTCTTGTAAGATAGTAATTTATTTGAATGTTTTTTTTTTCAATTTAAATTTTAATTGTTTATTCCTTGATAGAGGAAGCGGGATCCTAGTGCTGTCACTTGGTACCCCTGTACCATAACACCAGAAGCAACTGGCCAGTGTCACAAGTATATACAGTACAGTCATCCCTTGGTTATCGCGCCTAATTGGGACCCCGCCGATAACGAAAGTACAGAACCTATGGGATTTATTCTAATTGGTTCCAGGCACCCAAGACAGTTTCCCATTTTACGACCATTTAGACCCACTAAATATATATATATATATAATGTTATGGTAAATATCATAAACACACATAGGCATGGCTAGGTTATTACAAAGTGATGAAAAGGGTACGCTTAATACTGTAGTCCACAAAACATGTAGCTATGCTTTTTTTATTTGGTCCCCCGTCATACGAGTCCGTTTTCTCTCACATCAGGACGCCTGAGTCCTCCGTTTTCTCTCTTAATCTTAGAGTGCACCAGAAACTTTACTATTTTTAGTAATGCCACAGAATTTGAAATTGCAACCCCAATTGCAACTTGCAATTGTTGAGGCAACTAGATATGTCTGATTACAGCAAATGTGTTATTGTCAATTTGTAGGTGAAAGATTTTATCCTCAATAGATGTAGGTTAACATTTCACCTGTAGGCAAATGCTTAGAAAAGCCTAAGTAAGGAAGCATATTCCTTTAACACATAATATCTGACCAGTATGGGGAGGATCATCGTGTCTCCGTCAGGGGGTCGTGGAGTGGTGGTCCAGCAGGCGTGTTTTTTTTTTTCGGGGGGGTCACGGACGTATAAGCAATCGGACGTTGTTTGGTTGGACGTTAACCGGCGCATGACTGTAATAATAATAATAATAATAATAATAATAATAATAATAATAATAATAAAAAAGAAATACAAAAATGAAAAAAAAATATCAAGAGTGAGAAACAATATACCTGTATGTATGTTATGTTGTCAAAGTAAGAGAAACCATTGAGACCCTGCAGAAAGTCAGATCATCAACCTGGGACTTGGTCACATAGCAGCAGGGTCTACCATTAGACAATACATTATGCTTCCAATATCTTCCCAGACGGTAGTACCTCCTTGTTTGGTACATTAGCTGCCTACTACCTACACCAGTGAAACCGTTGCTTGATATACAGCCCCTTTTGGCACAAGTACACACACCTCTTTGAATATCATCACTTAGAACTGCTTATCAGTTGTCATTTTTATCAATTTAAAAAAAAAAAATCTGCATAAGAAGGTGAAATCTTTAATACAGCACTCATTTTATACACCTGGTCACCTCCACATCTTAGGGGCTGTAGTGTTTACATTCTTTCTCTTGTTTTTATCGGTATGACAACGACGGGAAATATTTTCCAACAGTAGAAGGTAAGCAAATGTACACATGTATATCAACGTCTATATAAAACAAAAAATCTTTATTTAAAAACAAAATATAAGTAAAAACACAACTCGTTTTTTGCAAAACCAGTGACTGATTGGTTCTACATAATTATAAAACTGAAGAAAATAAGTCCTCCATTGTAGCTGTATTAAAATTAATGTAGAAAAATTAATATGGTTGTTTTAAGTAATGTTATTTAATGTTAATAAATGAAACAATGGAAGTAGCTAACAATTACGGGTAAAACAAAGTGAGACTGCTCGTATGTAAGTGCGCACATGTGTAAACATATCGTCATTACTCTACATAAGAATATGAAAGCAACACTTATTTACTGTTCATATATGTTTTAATTAATGTTTCTGAATTTCTTTTTGATTGAATTATTGTTTATGTGTGCAAATTGAACAATACAATTCATTAATAATACGAAGAATATTAAAACACATGAGGAGACAAGACGTCATTGTTTTTGTTGTTTACAAAACCAGTGACTAATTGGTTCTACATATAAAACTGAAGAAAATAAGACCCTGGTTGTAGCTGTAGTAAAATTAGTATGGTTGTTTTAAGTTATGTTATTTAATGTTAATAAGTGGAACAGTGGAAGTAGCTAACAATTAAGGGTAAAAAAAAAGTGAGATCACGTATGTAAGTGAGCACATGTGTAAACATGTCATCATTACTCTACATAAGAATATGAAAGCAACACTTATTTACTGTTCATATATATTTTAATTAATGTTTCTGAATTAAAAAAAATTCTGCCCACCAGTGGTAATAAAGTTGAAAACACAAAGACAGCCAATGTTGTTGTGTGTGTGTTTTTACTTGGATGACGAAATTGTATTTGAATTTGGAAGATTTTAATTTTGTGGGGTTTTTAGTCTAAATGGGTATCCAAATATGAGAGCCTACTGTAAATAGGAGTCCAAATATGAGAGCCTACATATAAAGAAACAAACATTCCTGCATTTGAGACCAGCAGACAACCTTTAGCAGTTCCTCAATACATGGCGCTGCCGCACCACTGCCATTAGTAAACAAACCACACAGCAGCAAGGGTTTATTTTTTTTTTTGCAATATATCAACAATATTAGTTAAATCAATAGTTTTATAGTACTGTATAGAGAATTCTTGTAATTGTTAAGTACTGTAATGAGGAAACAGTCTTTGTAAGGGGCTGATTTAAAAAACATCTGCTACAACTCATCGACTAGTGTTCTGGAAGACGCATGGTAATTTTCGAGGTATATTTTTGTCATAAAAAGTGCGTCTTTTAAGCCAAAAAATATGGTAGTTACTGTACTGTAGTCCATTGAGTAAGGCTTTAATGAAAGACTTGGTTATAGGACATTTGACAGTTTATATATTGTACCTAATTGTTGAATGTGAACTGCATGTTTGTTTTCTTCTTTTTTATTTATTTTTTCAGTTTGTATTGATGATGTCCGAGTGTCAGGTCACTCCCTCCCATTACCACCATTTGTAAACGAGACAGTATGGGGCCAGGTGAACACTCAACAAAACCTGGAACAAGGTTGTACTGCCCCTGATTTCTGCACAAACTCCTCCTGTTTGCCTCCTCTGTCCTGCCAGGATTCTTGGAGACATGCAACTTGCAGGTGAGAACTTGAACATGTTGAACCTCCCTCCCCCCCTTTTTTTTTATTTTATTTTATTTTATTTTTTTTTTTCAGGTTATGTTCAGGGCACTTTTTCTAGTGCCCTCTCATGTAGGGTGAGCAAAGTGGCTCTTGGGAAGGGTTGCTCTGTCACACAAACAGGACTGGGATTGCACTGCCACCTAGATCCCAGAGCAGAAACGACCATCTTATCTGTGCCCCCCATGTGCAGCGCTGTAACTAGAGACTCCTGGCAGTCATCTCAGCCTGTCTCCGTCGCCACTCATCTGTCGCCATAGGACTTTTGGGTGTTCGGGTTCTGGTGATGATGGAAAGTATGATGAGCTGGATGATGGTTGCGCGTGAGTTGATTTATGTGGTAAGGCGGGGGAGCAGACTGCTCCACACATTTTGGCTCTCCCTTTCCCTGATCCAGTAGTGCAGGTATCTGCAATGACTGGGGAGAGGGAGAGTTGCAATGGACTGCTGATAGCCCAGTTTGTTGGATTTTACCTTAGTAGCCTGTCCATCTTGCATTGCCTTTATCTGCAGGTCTAGTCGTTAGTTCCCATGATGGTACCTCTTCCACCTATTCCACTATTTGGGTCTTACTGGAGCTCCATAAGCATGTTTGCCTGATGTGGGTTTCCACCACAGATTTTTGGTTTGGGGTTTACTCCTGCAGACTTGTACCTACCAAGGTAGTGGTTGGTAGGTGCCAAGACATGTTCACATGCCAGCGGGCCTATGCGCCGTCCCTCTGGGGCCCACTGCTACTCTGAGATCCCCTGCTGGTCTAGCCTGGGGCCACGAGTCACCCAGTTACCGTGTGTTGCCAAAAGGAAGCACAGCAGGAGTCCTGATGGTGAAGAGGCTGTGTACTGACAGGGGAAGACTTGTCCAAGTTGCTTCCCTGTTCACCCCCCCAGGGCTTGAAAGTGACGGTAGCTGAAAGTGGGAGGAAGTAGTGGCTGCACTTTAACACTAACATAATGCTGTCACACTAGATGCATTACACCACCCTGTGTGCACACACACACACACACACACGGGAATTAAGACAACAAGCATCCAGTGAGGGTCTTGTTGTGTGACTGCATGGAGGCAAATTAAATGATCAGTGTTGAGGAGCTTATCGCTTAGCAACACTGGTGCATGTTACCACTCCTTTTCACTCCATCTCTCTAATTACCCACATCTTTCTGCTTCTCACTCCATATTTTAAAATGTTCTGTAATGAAATGTTGAAGGGATACAACTTTGCTCATTTATACAAGTATCACAATCTCTCTAAAATACTTTAGGTTTTGTATTTATTCAAGACATCTTCAGGTCATGAGACCCACTAATCCCCTACCCAAGAAAGGGTGACCTGACATTCCATCAGAAGGTTAGTATTATGAGACCACTAATCCCCCACCCTACCTCCACCTGACATTGAGTCAGAGCCCCTCCCAAAAATACTTGAGCTTTCGTCTTTATTCAAGACATTTTCAGAAAATGCTTTCGATTTTCGACCTAGGAAAATTTGTTCCCAAAACCGAATTATTTTTTTCAATTCCGGCTTTGGGAATGCTTTTCCGAGCAAATTTCAATTCTGGTTATCGGAGAGTTCCGGGTTTGAGGGGGTCCTGATAACGGAGATATTACTGTATTTAACTTTATTCTCTGCAGCTGTCAGCCGGGTCAACAGCTGTTGGGCCGTAGGTGCCAGGATGTTGACGAGTGTGTATTCCAGCCTTGTCTACAAGGAGGCACCTGTTACAACCTGAGACCTGGTTACCACTGTGTGTGTGGTCCAGCTCACACGGGAGACAACTGTGAATGGGCCAAACTACCTTCAGACCCTAACCCTTTTACAGCACCAATGGCCATAGCAGCTCTTACACTCTCTGTTCTAGTTATTGGTAAGTCCGATCGTTCTAGTTATATCTTTATTCCGTGGCCATCATCCATATTTGTGTGTGTATGCATGTTGTGCTTTTCCACCTTACCTGAATCAAGAAAAGGAAACAAGAAATTAATTACATCAGTTCCTTTATTAAAATATGTAAGAGAAAATATGAAAAATCTATAACAAATTCAAATATAATTGGCACCTTGATACCATTGGTTCCTTTTGCTTGCTTGTATCAACTGGTATTTTAGATACATTTTCTTCAAGTGGTATTCCTTCATCTCAGTGGGGTAACTACGTCCATATCGGTCACTAGAGTTGATCTTTCAAGTTCAAGGATCACTGATTCTGTAGCAATGAGGCTCAAATTAACCAAATGCATCATAGACATGTGGACAGCGAGTACTTGTGACACAGTCTCAGATGTCCAGTCCTGGTACAACTGCAGCAACACCATAGGACGCCCCCTACCTTCAAGCCGCATATCATATACATTTAAGGTCATGGCATCCTGAGGAGTTGCAATCCTCCCAACTTCATTGTGAAGAACATCAATTACTGCCACAGTGTTTCGGTTGGGAGAAGCCTTGTAGTCTCCCATAGTGTATATTAGGTCCTTAAGTAGTATCTCAGAAGTGTTAGGCATATACAGCTGCCCCTCGACTTACGACGGGGTTAGAGACCCAAATCCAGGTCGTAAGTCGAAAATGCTTAAATAATACATATAAAATCTAAAATGGGTGTCTCTTTTTCTTTTCAGCTCCACAAAACTCTCACTTTTAAGCTTGCCAGCCATTTTAAAGTGAATTACAAACAAAAATTTTGTCAGTACACAGCGCAATCACTAATGTCGGGACTCGAAAATACGTACAGTGGTCCCTCGGATAACGAGCACAATCCGTTCTAGAAGGTTGCTCGTTAACCGAAACCATTGCTTCAATGGGTTTTTGGGTAATTGGTTCCACCTCACCGAAAATTGCCTAAATTCAACAAAAAAGGTAGAAAAGTACACTTACTTTGAGGTGTGTATGTAGAAGGCTCCTGGATGATAATGATGGGAATTAGAATGGGGGTGGAGGGGAAGGGAGAAGAGAAGGCATTGGGGTGGAAGAGAAGTCACCCCATGGCGCCATTTCACCCATAAAATTTTAGTTCTCTTGGTTTAATTCAAGATTATTTTCTTTAAATCAACACTGCACTGCATTATATATTGTCAATATGTAAAATAAATTTCAAAATGACCATTAATTTGCTTGTAAACACAGAAAAAAAGCGTTTAGTTGAAGAGAGTCTCAAGCAAGATGTTACCTCCACTGAAAAGACACAAAGACTGACGCCTGTATGCTGTGTTAGCAGGCTGGATGGCGTGCCACAAACAAGTGACCCTACCTTCAATTATGTTCAATAATTGTTAAAATTACTAAAAAATTTAATATTAAACTTTTAAAATTATTGAATAGTATAAACTTCTTGATATTTACTAAAAGGGTAAGGAATTTAAGCCCTAGAACCGATTACTGTATTGGCAGACTAGTACTACAGCTGGTGGACCGCCAAATGCAAGCTAAAACATGTGGAGGTTGGCTCGTAAGAAACTCGTTAATCGAGGGATTGCTCGTTAACCGAAGTTAAGAATCTTATGGAAGGTATCTCGTTAACTGAGGGACCATTGTAATTTGACAAAATTTTGGTACGACTGAGGCGGTCGTATGTCCGGGTGGTCGTAAGTCGAGGAGTAGCTGTATCTTATGCTAGAAATGTCAGTTAATTTTAGTTGTCATAAAATAATAACTAATTGGTTGAAGCAAACACCTAGCAGTGTTTAGGCGTATGTAAGGTCGGTTGCTATGAACACTGTTGAACTTCAATTTATTGTGCTTGAAATGATAACCCATCTTGTATACTGTACAGTACCTTTATTTTATGGCTCTTTTGCAATTAATTTTAATCTCTTACATTCTATTCTTCAAGGTTAAAAATCATTAAATTTATTTATATAAATCACAATCGAAGAAATAATGAGTATCCCATTATTTACCCACCTATATAGTGGTAATTGGTATCCTGTTGAACATTCGCCTTCACCGGTCCCGTGCAGCACGAGGCATGGCTGGACGTTCAGGAGGTGTGGAGGGTGTAACTAGTGTTGTTGAAACCCCAGTTGAAGTACAAGCAGTCACAGACACCCCTCACATTCGTGCTGCGAAGGAAGAAAATGTGTTGCTAGACTCTCTGAAGATCAAAATGCCCACTAAACAGATTCTTCTATCACCTAAAGGTATGAGGTTGATAGTTACTCATTAATTTCTTGAAGTACACAAGATCTTGTTTATTCTTGATACAAAAAACATTCATGCAAGATTATATGAATTTTGTAGAAAAAGTTTGACCTTTTAAGAAAAAAATCGGTATTATTGGCAAATTCTGATTTGAGTGTTTTAATGATAATTCGTTGGTCTTTATTAGAACGAAATATGATTGTATAAAAAGCAATTTGAATTTTCATCAAGTTAATAGATTACATAGGACCATTTTTCCTCAAGTTGCAGAAATATGATTAAAGTTAAACACTTGTTACTCAGACACTTTCTACTTACTCTTTGTGTAAATGAATGAAATAATGTGATTCTTAAAGAAGAAAACAGTGACTGTCAGTCTTGTTTTGTCCCGCCAAGGGAAGGTGAAGGACATTAAATATCATGTGCGTCATTTGTCAAGTTTGTGTCTCCACATGACCCTAAGTTCTGTTTAACATATGGTCACCATAGTATGTGGCCATCTCATACCACAGTCATATTACATCTATCGATTCATACAGTATGTAAGAATGGTACATTTTAATGCAGAAGTAACATATAACTGCCACGGTTACAGGCACAAAGCATCTGGTCACTCCCATAGGACCTCTGACTCTTGGGGAGAAGGTAATCACCAAATGCTCCTGCTGTGAAGATGTTAGATGTAAGGAAGCCACCAACAACTCTCCAAGGTGTTCCACAGCAGCAGTCACGACTACAGTGACGGAGGCAGTTTTAGAACACAGAGTGGGCATCGCACAGGTGGATTGTTCTACCACATGCAATAATGCAGTATGTCCAGTGACGTGTTCAAGAAAACCAACAAATGGAGTGCTTCAGGTCATAACCAGTACTGGTATGAGCTCTGTTCGACCTTTACTGGCACAAGATGATCTCAGAGCCTACGCTTATGAGGGAGACGGATCGCCATCTGGATCGCTTTCTTCTACTGTCTTAGGTAAATGTTATAGTAAAGTAGGAGTTATTATAAATGCTTAACTGGGGAGATGAACTGAAGGTGGAAATGTTTGACTCGGGTGTGTATTCATTCAGATTAATACCAAGGAAAATTTTTGATCAGGATGATAATCAAAAGAGGTAAAGGATGATATTTCAGAATCAATTGATAATGAGCAATGAATCAGGTTAGGCTTTGGTGGTGTCACCCACCTGTGGTTACGTGAGAAGGAGAGTGAGGGGTGAAATAGAAACTATAAAGCCCTTCGTCCCCACTTTTTTATATTGTTTCTGTTTCAGCACCCCCCACTTTCATTTTGTTCTGGTTACAAGTAGTATTAAAAAATATGCACTTACAATTTCACATAATTAAAATCCTAATCAAATTAATTGAAGAATGAATTGTATACCATTTTTCAATTATTTATTGCTCTAACGTTCTGACCACACAAGGTCATGTCTGTGCCTTTTGTGATTTATTCTTTGAAGAAGACCCAGTGTGATTGAAATTTTACTCTTTTTCTCATCAAAATTCGTTATTTTGCAAAATAGCTTGCAAGCAGACCAATCTAGCTAGACCTAACCTTAAGGTATAATAAGGTTAGGTTAGGTTTGATTAAATTGGAAAATACAGCTGATAAGACAGAACATGTCTACAGTAAAAAAAAAAAGCCTCTTGACGACGAAACTGTCTTTCAAGTTACACGAACCAACCTAACCTAACCTTATTATACCTTTTAAGTTAGGTTAAGTTAGATTGGTCTGCTTACAAGTTGCTGTATTTTGCCAATTTTATATACAGTATTACCCCGCTTTATGCATTTTTTATTACGCGTATCCACGTTTACGCGGTACCCTGCCAGACCCGGAATGCTCACTTGACGTGGTGCATGTACTCTTTTACGTGGAGAGCGGCGTGGGCAGGGTGCTCACAAGGTCGCCCAGTCATCAAAACATTACCAAGTTCTTCACCCGCCACCCACCACAGCCGGCCCAAGTCAGTGATAGTGATAATTATAGTGAGGATATGGACTTATATGGACTTTGAGGGGTTTGACAAAGAAGCCCTGCAAGCCTCTGTGGTGGATAGTGATACAATTGATACAAGTGATACAGGTGAGGGCCAATAATCTGACCTCTGCCTCAGAACCAACCCCCCATCCCCTTGTGCCCAGCCATCTTTTCTACTAATGTAAGTGTTAAAAAACCTAATATTATTGATATTTCTCTTAATTATTAATTGTGTGTGCATACCATCATAAAGTTAAGATAATATTTTTACTACAACATAGTTGTGTGCCGTCAAAAAGTGGAGTTTGGGGGTCGGGCCAGTCTCTATTGGAATTAATCCCATATGTTCTGTTGTTCACTTAACGCGGTTTTCACATAACGCGGTACCCTGTGGGTTCAATTGACCGCGTTAAGCGGGGTACAACTGTGTGTACTATGTTTGTTCATTTGAGGGATAACAAGCATTGCATTGACTGGGATAATGCCTCCTCAATATTACCATGTAAGTCAATTGACAGTAGGAACATCATAGAATCTAGTCTTATTAAACATACCGAAGCATTCAACATGAATTTGAGTAACGGCATGTACAAGCTGGACAATTTTGTAATTAAGAAGATTTGTGATCAGGTGAGAAGGCCGGGTCACTTGACCATCTGACCTGACCACCAACCGTTGTGTGCTATTTAAAGATTAGTAGGGTCATTACCTAATACCTGACCATTGTGGACCTGGTCTCACCCTCCTCTGTATATATACACCTTGATTTGTATTACTCTCTCTAGTCTGTACTCACCCCTGAAGATGTGAATTACACGAAAGCGCTTGGGAACTTCGTGTTTTCTTCTTTCCTTGTGGTTATCAGCATATACCTAGATATACAGTGATTTACTTGCATATATATATATATATATATATATATATATATATATATATATATATATATATATATATATATATATATATATATATATATATATATATATATATATATATATATCTTGATAAAATCACACGGGAAAAGGGAAACAACGGAGCACCTTAGCTTTCGTCTTTATTCAAGACCTCTTCGGAGGCAACTGGATTACATGGACAGAGAGAGGCTTAAATATACAGGGTGACCTTAAAAACATGAGGTCAGGTCATAATGATGTCATCCACTAATCCCTACACCAACACACACGTAGAGGAGCTTAAGAAAAGGGGGGTGACGTGACTAGTCAGGTCAGGTAAAAAATAAGGGACCCACAAAATAACTATCATACAACTATATCAAAGGTTTTCAAAGCATTTTTAACCTTGGGCCACTGACAAATAAATTTATGTAACATATTATCAGTTTTGAACTGACCATCACTAAGGTTTATTGATTTCAATTCCTTAATCAAACTAGCTTCAACCAGAAGTCTTTCTGTGACACAAGATGATTTAAATACTTCTAAGCTTTTTTCCCAAGCAATGGGGTGATTATTATTCCTAACATGGACGAACAAGGCACTGCTTTCAGATGCTGTTCTGATATTATACTTATGTTGTTTGATCCTGAGCTGCAGTGTTTTTCCTGTCTGTCCTACATAATTACAATTACATTTGCTTCATGGAATACAATAAACACTTCCATTTACATTCAAACTTGGGCTATTTCTTATTAACATATTGGTAATGGTTGAGTCATACTTGAAAACAACATTAATATTTAGAAGCTTGAGGGACCGAACTAACGGGACAAATTCATTACGATAGGGCAGAGTCAAAATATTCTTAAGTGTAGGAATTTGTCTGGTTTGAGAGGAATGAAAGGATTTTTTAGCCCTTTTAAAACAACCTGTACAATACAGGTTTGCACTTAGGTCTATTGTTACTGTACAATGTTGACAAAATTCACTAGATAACGTACGCCTGGTCGCACAATCTATAAGAATACGCGATGCATATGTGACTGTGCCCGCTCTAGGTCCATTATTTGAATGTTTTTTTTTTTTTTTTTAATTGTTTATTCCTTGATAGAGGAAGCGGGATCCTAGTGCTGTCACTTGGTACCCCTGTACCATAACACCAGAAGCAACTGGCCAGTGTCCAAATATATCCAGCACAGTACAGTCATCCCTTGGTTATCGCGCCTAATTGGGAGCCCGCCGATAACGAAAGTACAGAACCTATGGGATTTATTCTAATTGGTTCCAGGCACCCAAGACCCAACCCCAAGTTTCCCATTTTACGACCATTTATACCCACTAAATATATATATAATGTTATGGTAAATATCATAAACACACATAGGCATGGCTAGGTTTATTACAAAGTGATGAAAAGGGTACGCTTAATACCGTAGTCCACAAAACATGTAGCTATGCTTTTTTATTTGGTCCCCCGTCATACGAGTCCGTTTTCTCTCACATCAGGACACCTGAGTCCTCCATTTTCTCTCTTAATCTTACAGTGCACCAGAAACTTCACTATACTTAGTAATGCCACAGAATTTGAAATTGCAACCCCAATTGCAACTGGGGTTGCAATTGTTGAGGCAACTAGATATGTCTGATTACAGCAAATGTGTTATTGTCAATTTGTAGGTGAAAGATTTTATCCTCAATAGATGTAGGTTAACATTACACCTGCAGGCAAATGTTTAAAAAAGCCTAATCAAGGAAGCATATTCCTTTAACACATAATATCTGGCCAGTATGGGGAGGATCATCGTGCCTCCGTCAGGGGGTCGTGGAGTAGTGGTCCAGCAGGCGTCACGGAAGTGTATTTTTTTGTGGGGGGGGAGGGTTGGGCACGGACGTATATGCGATCGGACATTGTTCGGTCGGACGTTTACCGGCGCATGACCATTGCCGTGCTATTTAAAGATTAGTACGGTCATTACCTAATACCTGACCATTGTGGACCTGGTCTCACCCTCCTCTGTATATATACACCTTGTTTTGTACTTCCCTTTAGTCTGTACTCACCCCTGAAGATGTGAATTACACGAAAGCGCTTGGGAACATCGTGTTTTCTTCTTTCCTTGTGGTTATCAGCATATACCTAGATTACGCGCACCTACAGTGATTTACTTATATATATATATATATATATATATATATATATATATATATATATATATATATATATATATATATATATATATTACCCATAAATACTGTAAGAAAAGAATAAGTGAAAGGAATGTTTCGCAGTGATGACTGATAACGGTTTACACCAGCGCTCTCTGTTTACATCACGTAATCAGTTGAATCGCGCTGTTTCTGTCGATTGCTCTATGAAGTGTCAGTGATTTTTGCTGTTTTCTCCAATTTTGTTGTGTTAGCCATTGAATATGGAAAAGCACAGTCAGAAGAATGTTTCCAAGAAGTGTTCTGGTGATCGAATTGCCGGTGGTGAACGTAAAAGAAAGGCTATAACACTATTGCTGGAACAAGCTTGAGTAGCAAATCTGTGAGATCACGGCCAAAGTAATATGCACCCAACTCTATTTTCTCCATAAGCCCTGTTATTTTTATTGCGCAAATTTCTACAGCGCGAGGTTTCTCAAGAACGCAACTATCGCATTGTAGCAGAAATGACTGTACAGTATAGTCTCGGTTTACGCAGTCAATTAAACCCGTGGAGGTCCGCGTAAAACGAGAAATGCGTAAACGAAATAACGGAACATATGGGATTAATTGAAATAGAGACTAGGCCGACCCCCAAACTACCCCTTTTCCAACACAATACGTATGTTGTAGTGAAAATAACATCTTAATTTTATGATGGTATGCACACATAATTAATACTTCAGAGAAATATAAATAATATTAGGTTTTTTAACACTTACCTTAGTAGAAGAAATGGCTGGGCACACGGGGATGGGGTGTTGGTTCCAAGGCAGATTATTGGCCCTCGCCTGTATCACTTGTATCACCTGTATCTCTATCCACCACAGAGGCTTGCAGGGCCTCTTTGTCAAACCCCTCAAAGTCCATATCCTCACTATCACTGACT